ACTTGAAGGTTCATGCACACCTGATATGATCGGCTTCCCGACCTAAATCAGCATTGATGAACCTGTCGGCGGTCCGTGTGCTCGTAAAAATCGGCGCCATCGTTAACGACAAACAAGTGGCATGTCAAAGAGCGCCACCCTCCTTTTTCCCTCGGTGTGCCTCTGTCAACTCCATTTTTGACTTTGACATTGTCAGCGTCTGCACCCCAGAGACAGCGACAGGGACCAATAACAAAAGAAGAGTCGCGCTTGACCGCATCAAGAAGGCCCACATGCCCGTTCGGAAAGCGGTTCAGCGGGATGTGGAATAGGGGAAGCCAAAAAAGAAAAACAAGATATCGACTCGGGCGCGTGCTACGGTGGTCCCCGGCCCATTCAGGAATTCCTGCATCCTTCAATCCGTATCCCTGACCCCGTTTCCCCATGATTATCGCCTCTCTTCGGCTTCGGACGCGAACATTGGAGGGTGGAACGGACCTCTGGAACCCTGCGATGCTCCAAGCCACACAGTAACTCGTCATCATCAACTTATACGACCGCGCTATCCGTTCATCACATCCGATTTCTTCGGCGGGCTTGTTTGGTTTCAAACGGTATAGGCGAGTACAGGCGTCCGTTGTATTATCGGACGGGATATTGATTTCCTGATGGAAGACTGGAAATCAATACAAATATTTGCCGTTCCGATACCCTTGAGTAACCCATACAGATACACAGGACCGGCCCTGGAATGCCGAGCCCCCCGACGGCCCTCGCTGCGGCCCGTACGCGTGATTAAGGGACTGTTGTTCGCGAAGCATAATGCCTGCGCCTAAGTCTCAAAGTTGACGCCGGGGGCCAGATTTCTGGAACCTTTCATCATCCAGCTGAACCAGCCAGCGGTCCATCGCCAAGGATCCCGTGCTCTCCTACCTAGTCTAGTCGATGTGAGACCGCTTCACTGCCGATTCGCTGCCGATCTTCTCTGTGTCACCCAACTGCGAGTACGCAAGTCCGTTCTTCAGAGTATGCGCCCCTCGACCCTCTTCGGCACACCTTCTTTCGACACCTGCCTTGTTATTGTTAATTCAACTACGAGGGCCCGCAACTGAACCTGTAGAGCCTACAGATCAACAGTCTGGCCGCTGTGGCGCGTCTACGTCAAGATCTGGCCGCATCAGACGCGGATTCGACGCTGCCGGCCAGGCGCGGCCGCCTGGCCGCGCTGCCAGCAGAAAGGGGAACTTAGCCGCCCGCGTGCAGACAGGCCTGACAATGACTTGGGACCCGATGCCAACGCCATTGCAGTGCGGCTTGCCTTTAAGCATGTCGAATGCGAAGACATAGCTCACAAAATCCGCCGCATAGAACAAAGGCTATCAAAGCAGCGGGGGATTGTGGCTGAACTGATGTCTGCACCGCCTTGAGCTGGTCCATGCTCTTCATTTCCCCATGCCTGCGACACGTGGGAGGACAGGATGCGATTTCATGAGGATCGCCCCCTCTAGGGAGTTCCGGCGACACCTAGCTTCAACTCGGCTTGTTCCTGACCTTGTCCAAAAGAGACCTTGGCTCGTCCTAGGAACAGCGAAAGACAAGACACGCCGCGCGACGGATGGGAACATTGATCCACCGTCGTTCAGGGCCGTTCTCGACGCTCCGCCAGCGCGCAAAGTTTTGCTAGCAATAAAGTGCGTGACGCACAGAAAACGTACGCGACGTTTCTCCTTGCGAACTAGATTGATGGACCCTTCTGCAGGAACCGTCGTTCGAAGCCTCCGATGCACAGTCCATGCCCCCCCCCGTTGCTGTCACCAAAACCAGGGGCTTGTCTCTACTAATCTAGCCCTGCTGGGGCCAAATGGTCACGAGTAGAGAGTTCTTGGCTGGTAGGCAGGGAACAAGATTTCCACTATTGACTATAGCTCGGATTTCTTGCTGACTTTCCAGCACGGCTCCGGTCAATGTCAACGGCCACCGTCCTCCTTCTGATCCGATGGTGTTGCTATAATGGGCAATCATTTCCCCCTTTAGCCCCCTTTCCCATCGTGATGGCTAGAGAGGAAGGGCCTCTCCATTCGATACCAGGATGGCTTAGCTGGTAACGACGTCTATCATTCTAAAGTTGTCAGTGTCAGATCCCAAGGTGCTTCTGTCGTCGTTAATGAGCCAATCGAATTACGCCAAGCCATGGCTGCCCCTTGCGGATCTGCCTCCCGCGATGCTGTCTGTGCGATGCGAGAACTGAACTGGGCAACATCAAAGCACCACACACGATACAAGATCCAACTCAAGATCGAGATTATCCCGTATTCTAGCACAGCGCAATATACAGTCAGCAGTTTTTTTTTTTCGTCCAATCGGCGACTAATCCATGGAATCGTCGGATTCTTCGGGAAGAAACAACCAGTATCTTGCAAGATCATCAGTTAGTCGTTCTCTACGTTCTGCCTTACAAACTCTAGATCTGCGAATAGATAGACTAACCAACCCACGATCCTCTAGATGGCACACATGATTCACTCGTCTCGCTTAGCCTCTTCCAACAAGCCCATGAGACTGACTCGCAATCTAGTTACTATTGTTGGCTGGCGGCCTGCTGGGTGAGATTGCGACTACCGAGAGTCCTGGTCCTAATTCTAGGCTTCCTGATGATCCATCGACTCGGTTCAACTTACACGCCTGCCACCTTGCTTGTTCAATGGCAGGTGACATGTCCACAAAGAAACGAAACAAGACGACTTCTCGTGTTGAACAGCACCATCCGAATGTTTCAGTCACGATCTGCCACAGCTACACGGCATTCTCGCCCTTTCCCTCGAGGTACAGGGTACAGAGTACGGAAGCACAGAAACCGCTATTGTCGAGTTGCAAACCATCTGCAGGCGTCCGACGTCAAAGCTCTTGCCGACAGCTGTCACTTCCCGCCCTTACCCCCGGAGAACCCTGGAGTAGGGGCCTTCCTTAATCTCCGCAGACGTCGTCGCGTTTCTTGCCGCGACGCAGATCTCTTGACGAGGCCTGGCTGAGGGTGTACGTCAGGCTGTGCTCAGTAGGAAGCTCTCACGCAACAGTAGACTGACAAGCATCCGTATCCGTACAGCATGGATAGTGTATCATGAACTCTCTCTGTAAAATCGGGTGGCTGGAAGGAGATCCACAACTCTGAAGCAAAGCGCGAGCAGGGATATCGGCCATTTTTTTTTATTTTTTTTGAAAGCAGCGGCTGCGTGGGAGAGGCTTCTTCCACATCATGTGGAGCACCCAGGGGGGGAACAATCGTAGATCTTTTCCCATACCCATAACCTTTTGCGCCTCCTCGGCCGGTCGCCATTTACTGCGGCGGGGTACGCGAACCTAGGGCAGAAACAGTCAGCCCACCCCGACCCGGCGGGCCCCTTCGAGGACTCGGGAGAAGAGGACTCGGAGTGGTTGGCTACAATGGTCTGAGTGGGGGCAAGCTGCTCTCTGAGTCTGCTTACATAGGAGTGTTTACATCTCAAGGCTCAAACTGTCGCAGATAGCGAATGTCGAAATGATGATGGTCAGAAATTCTGTTACGTGTGGCAGAAACCCTAGAGTCTGGGGGGGGGGGGGGGCTCTTGATCGGCGACATGGGTTCAGTCGGGTGACAAGCCAAGCGTTGACAGGGGCGGAAAGAGGAGGATGAGGAAGAAGGGATTCTCTTTTTTCCGCCGCCCCTCGCCCCCAACGATGTGTCTTGTGCATCTGTAGCCGGCGGCAGTTTGCTCCACTAGACATGATACTGTGTACAGAGTACAGATAGACTAGAATTCAATCTGCCAAAGTAAATAGAGATGTTGCGCAAGCAAAGGTCGACTAGCCCGATCTAGGACGGATGTGACCTCGCCTCCCGTGAGGCATCCAAGACTCACCTTCTAGAGGCTACCGAGATGACGGAAACAACGAAACGGGAGGACGGAACGGAAGTAAGGACCTGCGACATCGAGGGAACAAGCAACCGGTCGAGTTGAACGCTGTTCTACATAGATTGGCGACGTTGATGAATGAGACAAAGAGACTCATTCATTCACCCCTGCTCGCCATCTCTTCTCTTACTTGTTTTTTATGCAGTTGTTCAAGAACACGTTGTTTGTTTCTCTTTGTTTTGTCTCTCTTCTTTGCTCGTAAACGATGGGATCTGGGGGTTATGGGATCTCGACTTTTGACATTTGCTGTGGATTATAATTTTCCGAGGGCTCGAGTTGGTGAGGATTTGGGAGTCGGGAGCATAGCCATTGAATCCATGCGACTCGATCTTTTGAAGAATCGAGTCGGAGTTGGGTGATTCGATTGGGGGGTGGCAAGGGAAGTCAGCCACCCCTCTTCACTGGACTTTACTGTAGAGCAAAGTGATGTTGCGACAACGTGTCGGCTGTCGAGAGAGGTGCGCGAGACGGTGTAGTCATCTTGACTGGACTAGAGGATCATCTTTCCACTGAGATCCGGGACGGGCTTGAGATGAGTTTTCTGGAGAGGTCCAACATGAGAGGCAGCTGTCGGCATTTAGGTTTAAGATCAAGGATGAAAGACTTTATGGTCGCCATGCTTGTTGGAGACGTCGATTACACTCAGAGAAAGATCAAATCGTTCAAGCCGGGCCATTCCAATTCCACTTCGCCCAGTCGGAAAGGACCAAGGTGATTAATGTACCGAGTTATAACGGGGTCTTCTCACATGGTCAGAAGCCCACTCGGTTGATTCTCCAGCTAAGCTTGGCGAGTGTTGAATCCCTGTCAGTATGTCCGGTATGTTGTGAACACGGCGAGTTTCGACATTGGATATGAGCGGAGTGCTGGTGTAAAGAAAGGCCTTCGTCCTCGACCGGGTCTCTACAGTCCGGCTACTCTCGAGAGGTTGGCTGGCATTCAGGAAACAAGCCTTCGCATCTAGCTTTTGTATTCTTACATATGATAGGTTAACGGGCTCAAGACGTTTTTTTTAATAAAAAAAAAGGGGGGTATCTAGCAGCTATAGAATCTCAATCGATCAAACCCTTCTCACACATTTCCGAACGCTGAATCGTCACCTCGCTCACCTCCACTTCTACGAACCCCATTCTTCCTCACCCACGTCCACCAACCCATAAACGACTGTATCAAACCCAGATCATTGTCACGCTGTTGCTGCTGGTGCTGGTGCCGTGGCGAACGTGTCGACAGCGGAGGCGGGGGCCGACGACCCGTCAATCGCCTCTTCCTTCTGGGTCTCGTCTCCGTCACGGGCATGGTGACGGCCGGCATAAACTGCTCATCTGCATCGGCGTCCGTAAACAGCCGAAACGGCCAAGCGAGCGTGGCGAACGTGTGCCGCGCGAGCGAGTACCCCGCGCGCGTCTGCAGAAGGATGAGGGCAACGATGAAGGGTACGCAGACGCAGACCATTGTCACGGGGAATCTCCAGTCTTCTGGTGAGATTGTAAACTCTGTTATCCCAAAGACTGACTGCAGAGTTTTGATGTTTCAGTATAAGGACGTTGAATAGAGGTAGGAGGTAGGGAGGATTGCGACTTACAGTTACAAACGTCAGGGGCAAAAACACCATGGACCCCAACGTCAGGACCTTGATGTTATCCCCCTGCTCGATCGCCCTCCTCGACTCCTTGATGGAGCTCCCGCTGAAGAGCTGGTCCCGCAGATTCTCAATCTCCTTGCGCGTCGCGGCGTTCTTGGCGTGCACCGTCTCCAGGTCCCGACACGCGCGCTCCAAGTCGGACCGCAAGAGCACCATCTTGTCGCGGTACACCGCGCCCTCGGGGCTCTCCGGCGCCGGGTGCGGCCACAGCGTCTGGTGCCTTCCCTCCCAGAAGTCGTCGGGAAAGGTCTCGCGGTAGGCGGCCAGCATGGCGCGCAGGCCCTCGTTCACGACGCCCAGCGTGTTATAGGCCCAAAAGTACCGCCGGATGTAGGTGAAGTGCTTGTCCTCGAAGAGGAGCTTGTCGCGCAGGCGGGCGTCGAACATGAAGTCCGTCGGCGGGGTGATGAGCTTCGCGATGCGGGCGTGGAGGGCGAGGTTGCGCTTCGTCGCGTCGCGGTACTCGGTCACCAGGGCGTCCAGGAAGGCGTACGGGCCCGAGGGGAAGTTCTTGTGTGCCTCGGCGTCGCCGCCGCGGAGGGTGTGTTCGTCGTCTGGGAAGGACTGTATCGAGAGCAGATGCCACGGCGCGAACGTGTCGAAGAGGAAGCCTTCCTGGGGACCCTCGCGGCGCCGGGTCTGTTTCACGGATTGGCGTGGTGGGCCAGAGAGGGAGAGGGCGAGGATGGAGCTGCATTCCGCAATGTCGATATGGTCCTTTGAGCGGCGGTCCGCAGGGCGTTTATCGTACTTTTGAAAGGGGGGTGGTTCGAGGCCCTCGCCTACGACTGTGTAGTACTTGAAGACGAAGAAGAAGCTGCGCTGGCGGAGGTGCGAGGGTGAAGCATCCTTTGCAAAGGCTCGGTGGACGTGGGCTGTCGTCTTGCCGTTATTCTCATGGTCTGTGATGAAGTGGTTGAGGAGCTCCGTCATGTCGAAGTATGGGCGCATTGTCATATGTAGCGCGCCGAGCATGAGGGCCGACGGTTCTTGTAGGATCGTTACGAGACCTACGGCTTGGCTGTCGGCGTGAATCTCCTTTAGGGCGTTCCACACCGTCGGAGCGTCGACAATCTGAGTGGGAGTTGGAGCTGCGTCGGCTGAGGCGCCTCGGGGACGGCGGTCTGGATGTTTACCCACAGGTCGAGGCGATCCTTCCTTATCGACGTCGTACAGCTCAAAAGTTGAGCTGACGTACCCTTGGCTTTCATATGCCGCAAATTCCTCGAATACCGCATCCTCGTCAATGTCGGCTTGCCGTTTGATCACATCGGTTAGCGCAATAGCGGCACCACCGGTGAAGTCAGTGTACTTGAGATGGCGTAAAAGTTGGTTGTCCGTCCATGATACGCGTTCAACTAGTTTTGTGGGGGGGATTGCGAGGGTCCCATCTGAACTTTTGGCACTTCGAGGGCCTGTAATGTCAAGCAAGGGTAGATACTCGAAGTCTAACTCAGAGTGAATGGAGGCCGGTACGTGTTTTCTTTCAACGACGCTGGGCAGAGTCCGCTTCTCGATAGGGTCAGAGAAAGTTGAGCGCCGGGCACGGCGAAGAGCAGGCTGAAAGGTCGCTTCCGATGAGAGTGGTGGACTTTGGCCTGGACTTTGGACGGGACTTGGAGAAGGTTGTAGGAGGGGAGATGGCTGGCGAGTGTTGTTTGTCGTCTTGGTATCTGACCTGTCTCTCACGGCACTAGCCAGGGAATCATGGAGACTTCGTAAGTTACGGAGATATTGGTCGTGGCTTGCCTCAACTGCTCTGAGCAGTTCCTCAGGGCTCCGGGTTGACATAGCAGTGACCGAGAACGAGTTTAACGAAGTGAGTATGCTAGGAGAGGCCAAGGAGATGACTACTGATGTAAGAATGATGGATCAAGAAAGAAGAGAATCTACTGGGCAGACCGTCTCCAGGACAGCGGCCCTTTTCTACTCACTAACATGCACAGCCTGCCTTGCCTAAGACCTTCGACAAGAGATCCGAAATCAGAATGTTGTGCCATCGGCAATCTCCAGCTACACCACAAGCACTAGCCTAGGCAGCCTCGACGTTCCCCTCATCCAAGGAGATCGACCCCAAATGCGGCTGAGCCGCGGAGCCAAGGGTTCCAAAAGTACGGCGCGGTGTCTTCGGTGTGTGCGAGCATGCGCGCGGGAGAGATGAAGGCCGGCAAGTAATAGTCCCGTCTCGAGATGACTTCATGGGCCCGGGGGGCGCGTGCGTGCGAACATCGGCCGACATCACCGAACCCAAGCTTTTCGGCCACTGGACCGGGTGGGTGGGCACGGATGTGTTCCCCGTATGCATCTCTGTGCGCCCCGAATGTGTGGTGTGACGCAGGGAGACGGGACTTGAGAACGCATGCCGGGGAACAGTGAGGGAGGGGATGAAGGGGGTCCAAAATACAGGAAATACAACGTGGGGTTGGAGCTGGAGGAGTCACCGAGGTGAGGTTAGTTTGGAGCATGAATCGTCGGAGTCGATTAGCGATCACTAAGAAAAGCAGGGCTGTCGATGAGGTGTCGTCCGGCGCCGGCCACCAGGAGCGGCTTTTCGCGGCCTATGGAGTGTGACTGTGTGAGTCGCAATTGAAAGTTGATTGGCAATGGCTGCTGCCTTGGCAGTTGTCAATGGCGTTGTGCTACTGACAGATGAATGCCGCCAAGGAAACTTCACGTGCGTACAGGTGCAATTGTTCAAACCCAACCTAAGGAGGGAGGGGGAAACGAGGGGCGCGGAAGAGGCATCTGGTTGCTGGGGGGGCCTTAGTGTGGTCTGGAGGGGATGGAATTCACAAGCCCGTTCGAAAATGTCTCAATTTCAGTCGCATGATGCAGAAAAAGACGTTAGATCGTGTCGTCGGCATTCGTTGCATGGAGCTTCGCATCCGCTTTTTTTTCTTCTTTTTTTTTCTTACCCAGGGGTTTGAACTAAGACTGGAAATTCTTGGAAGTAGAAAAATGGGTAGTCACTTCGACACGTAGCTCACCAGGAAGGGGTCAAAAGGGCACATGTCCACAGGAAAATGTATCTTTTGCATCTAATTACTAGGACAAAGTCCCTTCTGCACTTGGCCCCTCTCCAGACCACATCATCTATACTGAATGGTTCGGGTACCTTGTGCAATCATCATCCAGGTCGTATTCTTCGTGTAAACCGCCATCCTGCGCAATTCTAGTCGAATAACTTCTGGGTCGGCAAAACAATGGGGGTATGGGCAAAAGCGTCAAAACATCTCTCGACAGGCGTCACCTAGTGAGTAGCGACCTCCTAGGCCTTGCCGGCAACGGCAACGGGCTTGTCACCGGTGTCGACGTCCATGGCGTCGTCATCAGCAGCCTCGCCCTCACCCTCCTCCTCCAGCTCGTCCTCGCTCTCGCCCTCGATATCAACACTGCCGTCATCCGACATCTCGTCCTCCTCGGCAGGAACGGCCTCACCCTCGCCATTCTCGACACCGGCCATCTCGAGATCCTCACCGGCAGGCTTCTCGCTGTTAGCAGCGCTAGCCTCGGCCTCCTCCTCTTCACGCTCCTCAGCACCGTACTCGTCCTCATCGGGCACAAGGTCAGCCTCGGGCTGCTCAGGGGGGAACTCGGCGGGGGCGGCGGCATCGTTGTCCCTAAGGCTCCCAGTTAGCTCCACTATTCTGTCGATTCTGATTTCCCCCTCATGTTTATGGAAACGTACCACTTGATCGCGAAGCGGGTCACACGAGGCTTCTCGGCGAGAACGTTGCGCTTGACTCGCTCGATGATGGGCTTGGAGGGAGGCTCGGCGTTGAGCTCCTCAGAGTCGTACTCATTGTTGACATAGTAGCCAACACGAACGAACTCACGACCATCGTAAGCGCAGGTCAGGAGAATCACAGTGACACCCAGAATGTCGGCGTCGGGAATCCTGGAAGTGTTGGGCGCATCGGCCTCGAAGATGAACTTGTTGACACCGACGGGGACGGGTCCGACGAGAAGACTGTCGAGCTCTTGGTCGTACTGATCACTGTTGTCTGGCAGTCAGCGAATGGCGGTGTACATGGTGAAAAATTCCACATCAAACTAACCTAGTCGCAGAACCAACGTAGGTCAACTTCCACTCGAGATCTGATCGAAAGTTTGTCAGTAAAATTAGAGATCGTGGATTTCTTTCCCATATAATTCTTTACCTTTCTCCAAGGACTCCAAGCACTCGAAGGTGATTTCGAACTCGTACTTGTCCGTGAATTTGGCGGGGTTGTTCAGAACCTGCACGCCCAGAAGCGAAACGATGGACATCGTCAAAGGTGGGCGATGAAGTCTTGGTTGAGAAAGTGGTAAGGGATGTAGAGGAAAAGTCTGCGCGACTGCAAGCGATAGAAAGTTGAGGAGAAATTCGTTGCGTGGACGTCGGTCTGAGGTGGTGGGTGGAGTTAGTGTATTGAGAAGGTCGGTTTGTTTTGCGGCGAGCGAGATGGAAGAAGAAGGCTCGGCTCGTCAATTGCAACGGGACAACGGCGTGGACCTGGGACGCGCCTGCCTTCCCCCTACCGCGAATTTCGCGTAAAGTGGTCTCCACGTCGAGGCTAGCCCCTTTCGGCTCTCGCGCCTGTCCGTGTGTCTGTCGTGCCTGTCAAGTTCCTGTCCACCTGCCCAGCCACACAAAGCGAGGCTTGGAGATGGCTGATGCATTCCATTCTCATTCCATGGGTACCTCACTTAGGTGGAAGAACCCTACGTCCTCCGTACCTTAGCTAGAATATGCCATTACATTCGAATGGATGAGACCGACGTAACTGTTTGATCTTCTCGAAAGCCAAAATTCGCAAGAGTTCTCACTCGTATAGATATGTCAAGGTACTTTACCTTATGTTAAGGAACTTCAAGGTGGAAGTCACCTCAAGTGCCTACCAGGTGATCCTTATCCGATAAGATTATCTTATCAGTCGTAGCTTGGTTTGACCGAACTTTTGCCAGGTCACCGCCAAACCACGCTAGCCTAGTTTCGGCGTCTACTTTCCTCCAATCTTTCACATTGCCAACAAGCTGCAACCTTCTGGTTTTGCGACCAGTTCGTCTTACAGGCAGCCACCATCATCAGCTTCACTGCCCCTCGCAGCCATCCGCGACCTTCGATAGCCGACTACGAACGACAAGCCTCTTTCAAACCTTTCTTTTACGACCATTTATCGATCTTCTACGAGCCTAATTACGCCTTCCTCGCCCGAAATACCCAGCGTCATCGCGCCTAGGGCGACCCCGTACCTCATAGCTACCGCGACCGGTGCTACGCTGCGAAGTCAATTGACATTGAGGTTCTCAGCGGAGAGGATCGCACCGTGATTCTTGTGAGACGTTGCAACACAGATTCTTCGGAGTGCTCATCATCGCAATGGATTCCGAACTCCCGCAGAACGATCAACAATTCGAGGGTGCGTCTTGGGGAGAAGATGGATATGAAGAAACAAATGATATACAGCATAGCGACGAACAAAGTCAAGATCCTGCCTTCCCACTTGATCAAGCTGCGAATGGTGACTCAGAAGATGCTGGCGAATATGACCCAGAGTCGGTCGCGATAACTTCAGTTCCAGAGACCGCAGAGCCCAATCCCCCCGCCGATTCAACCCCAACTCCCACCGCTTCCACCTCCATCAAGCCGAAATCAGGCAAACCCAAAACGCAGGGAGGATTCCTAGTGGGAGACTCCGATGACGAGGAAGAAGATGCACCTACTCCGGCATCGAACTCTGTTCCTGCTGCTCCTGCGACGCAAACTCCCATTGCACAAGACCCTCCTTTCCCTTCTGCATCTACATCTACTCCTGTCCAAGGCCAAATGAGCGCCATTCCAGAGCAGGCAAGCCAGGGAGTCCCGGTGCGCGCACCAAGTGCGGCATCGAGGACAGCGCAAGCGCCGCCCCCTCCAGCAGTGCAGTCCGCCCCGAGCAGAGACCCGAACGACACTTTTGGCATCTTGGAGGATCGCGTGAAGGAGAACCCAAGAGGGGATATGGATGCGTGGCTTGCATTGTTCGCAGAACACCGACGCTACGACCAGTTGGATGAGTTGCGCGCTGCCTATGAGCGATTCCTCCAAGTTTTCCCCCAGGCTGTAAGTGGAATTATGCTTGTGTACAGCAAGGTCTCAAACTAACGCCTATCTAGGCCGATATCTGGGCCGACTGGGCACAGCTCGAGTTGGACTCCAACCGCTTTCAGGACGCCGAAGCGCTTTTCAGCCGGTCACTGGTCAATGTGCCCAATGTCAAGCTTTGGACCGTATACCTCAACTACATCCGCAGACGATACGATTTGAACAACGACCCCAACGGGGAGTCTCGCCGAATCCTGAGCATGTCCTACGACTTTGTGATTGCTTCTGTTGGCATTGACCGTGACTCTGGTCAACTGTGGAAGGACTACATCCAGTTCATCAAGAGCGGCCCAGGCCAGGTCGGAGGCAGTGGCTGGCAGGATCAGCAGAAGATGGACCAGTTGCGCAAGGCCTACCATCGCGCCATCACAGTCCCCATGTTTGCGCTTACAGATCTGTGGAAGGACTACGACCAGTTCGAAATGAGCCTGAACAAAACGACTGTAAGTTACTTGTCCCCTCGGTAGATGGTTATTGCTAACGACACGATAAGGGCCGCCAATTCATCCAAAAGCGCTCGCCCGCTTACATGACAGCCAAGGCAGCAAACTCTCAGCTCGATCGCCTGATTCCTAGGCTCTCACGAACGTCGCTTCCTCGACTGCCTCCTGCACCTGGCTTCCATGGTGACCAGGAATTCTTGGAGCAGGTCGATATCTGGAAGAAGTGGATTCAGTGGGAGAAGGAGGATCCGTTAGTTCTTCTAGACGAAGAGCCTGAAGCCTACAAAACTCGCGTGTTGTACTGCTATAGGCAAGCGTTGATGGCTCTCCGTTTCTGGCCCGAGATGTGGGTGGACGCAGCAGAGTGGTGCTTCGCCAACAACATTGCAAAGGATGGCAAGGAGCTGGGCCTGTCTTTTCTGACAGACGGCATTGAGGCCAACCCCGAAAGTGTATTGCTTGCCCTCAGACATGGAGACCGTGTGGAAACGACCTACCCGGCTGGAGACGATGATGCCAGCAAGGCTGCCCGCGCCAAGGCAATCAGGGAGCCCTACAGTCGCGTTCTCGACACTTTGTACGCCATGTCCAAGAAGCTCAAGGAGCGGGAAGAGAAAGAGGTTCGCAAGATCGAGGAAGCCTCGGCCCAAGACCCTAACATCAAGGACTCAATCGAACGGAACGACGACGATATCGACGGCGACAATCAGCCCGGTGAACTTGGAAAGGAAGAGCGCATCAACGCCGTGAAGCAGGGATTCTCGGTACAGACAGATATGCTCAAGCGCACCATTTCGTTCGTGTGGATTGCGCTTTGTCGGGCTGCTAGGAGGACACAAGGCAAGGGCAACACAACTTCGGGTCTTCGGCAAGTCTTTATTGAGGCCCGTGGCCGCGGCCAGCTTACCAGCGATGTCTACATCGCCGTTGCGAAGATGGAAGCTCTCATCTACAACGACCCAGCTGGCGGTAAGATCTTTGACCGCGGTGCGAAGCTTTTCCCCGAGGATGCTAGTTTCATGCTCGAGTATCTCAAGTTCTTGCACTCCAAGGGCGACACAACAAGTGAGCTCTCCTCCCTCTCATACTCGATGAATTCATATTGACCCATGCATAGATGCCCGTGTTGTTTTCGAGACGTGCGTCAACCGCCTCACGCAGAAAGAAGATAAGAAGGACCAGGCGAAGCAACTCTACTCATACTTCCACAAGTACGAATCGCAGTTTGGAGAGCTCTCCTCAATTGCTGAGCTGGAGAAGCGCATGTCGGAACTCTGGCCGGCTGATCCCAGACTTTCACACTTTGCAAACCGTTTCTCAGTAGACACGTTTGATCCCATCGCATACCGCCTCATCATCTCCCCGGCTGTTCAACTACGGCCGAAGATGCTGATTCCGACCATCGAGCAGCCGACCTCAGTTCGGCAATCCCCAATGGCCTTGCCAGTTCGTCAGACGGCCAGCCCGGGCCCGCAGTACATGGGCGTCACAAACTCTCCAAAGAGACCTTTCGCGGGCGACGATTATGAAGAGCTCAACAGGCCACGGAAGCTCGCCAGGGGAGAATCGCCTCTTAAGGGTGCCGCGGGTCGTCGTCTTGACCAGCAAAGACGTAACCAAGGAGCACCCCTTTCCCGAGACATTACTTTCCTCTTGGGCATCCTACCGCCGGCGCACTCTTACGCTCACTCGCCCAACGCATTCCGTCTGAGCGCTCCTAATCTCGTTGGCCTGATCCGCGACACCCCTGTGCCTGATTACAGCGCATGGAAAACCCAACAAGAGCTCGGCGCTCGACAAAACAACGGTATGCAACCCCCTTCCCACAGCCGACAGGCATCTGGTGACTACGCTGGGTACGGAAACGGTGGACGGAACTCCCCTCAGAGAGCCCTCAGTCCATACGATGGATCGGGTAGGCGCCTGGCATCATCCGGATACAAGAGCTCTCCCCTCCGACCTGGTTCCAGTGGCGGACATACCGACCCTTCTGTTTACCGACAGGACATGCCACAGCAGGGGCAATATCCACCAGCGGCTTCGTTTGACGTGAACGCTTCTTGGGCACCTGCTGGCTACAGCCAAGCACCAGCACAGCAATATGGAAAATATCAGTATTGATCTTGGAGCTGACGATTGGATTCAGGGGCTGGTTTCCGAAGGGGTTGGCCATAATTTCGATGGCTATCACAGACTCGGTCGACCACACTAGTCGGTATCTGGTGGCTCAATAACTATCGGGGCAAGCCCAACACGCTGCGTCGGGACATGCCTTCTGATATTGAGCTTTGGTTCATGTTTTGAGGGTCATGGTTTTCACTCGTTCCTCAAGGGAACATTGGTTGCAAAGTCTGCGACATCAGTGTTCTGTATAATACAAAAAGTCTTCAAGGGGCTCCGCATTACTGTAGGCGTTCAGGGCTGCGGCGGCGGATACTTTACTCGTGCGGCTCACGGAAGCAGCACGCACTTTTTTCGTCAAAAAGCATACGCCACGGCATGTTGTTCGATGGCTCGTCCACGCGATATTGGAGGATGGGGATGAATGGCAGGTGGCTGCATGGGATGCCACGTTGAGGTGTCATCTAGATTGCTTGGCTAGCCGCTTGAGTAATTCAAAGAAATCTGCTTTTGAGACATCACTTTCTCTTGCTGTTGATATGAGGTGACTACTCTTATGTTGATCGGTATCTTGTTTGTCACCGGCTTGCGCACTTGTAAAGCAATTTGGTCAAGGTCCGCGTCGAACATCACCCGGCTAAGGCATGGGATAGTCGTCCTTCAACAGGTCCGAGCCTTGGGCCGTCCCGAAGTATGGTTTCTCTCAAATCTCGTCGCAGCAAAAGCGATGGACGGCTCTAACAAGATGACACTAACCCGGAGACTCTGGTGTTGAATCAAAGCCTAATACGTCAGAACAGAACGTGCAGGTACCTTTACGTACATGGAACTCTTCCGCTGGGGCAGTGACGGAGTTTCTGCCCCGACATCACCCCTAAAGGAACCGGGTGTTAAGCGGCAGGCAGAGCTTGGCTTGACTTAATATCCGACCTATCCTAGCACCTCATATTAGCAAAGTAGTTTGCCGCTCAACGCCTAAGCTCTATTTATCTTATTCTCATTACTCTTATTCTTATTACTATTCTTATTGCTACTGCTATTACTATTCCTGTTATTATTCCTATTGCTATTCCTATTGCTATTCTTATTACTCTTCTTATTGTCCTTTTTTATTTCTTATATATTCCTTAGAGAATACGCTATTAAACATAGGAAGGTTATTGGAATAAACGTGTTGCTAGGTCGTAATTGTTCAGTGATGCTTGTGTTTAATTATCTCTTCTCTTGATTTATAAATACAAGTTTATGCTTGCAGGCACAATCCCGCGTGCCATAACCCACAGACAATCTAATGGCCTTAAGCTTGACAAGCACATTCTGCTTTCCATGAGATACTCTGCCGCCCTTATATAGGCTTGTGAGTTTTCTTGAAGCCAGACTTTGCAGGTGTGACGGCTCTGGTGATGCCCCATCGCAGACGCGGCAAAAGCCTTTCAAGAGAGTACATTGCTAGTCTGTTTATGGAACAATGAAGCGAGACTCCGGCGCATCGCCAGCCAGAGATATGGAAGTCACGTCGTCTACTATCTACCACTAGTCGACTAACGAACTTCGTTATAGGCGGAAAGCCGGTTGATTTCAGACATGGCATGCTGTGCTTACTGGAGTCATCATGATGCGGCGGCATTTATGCTCATGCCCCGTGGTCATGCCTTCCATTCTGTGAGACAACAACTGTTGGCATCTTCCAGGCCACGAATATTCAGTTGATGCGAGATCTGCATGTTGGGCTCTTTCGACTGTGGACTGTGGGTAAACGTGCTGATTGCCCTAGAGTCTCACGTTCTTGACACCTCTTCGAAGCCTTCAGCGTTCTCGACCGAGTTCCTGATCACTGGTGTCTGGGAGATCTAGATATGGCTATCACATTGTAGCATGATTGGCGAGTCTGGCTTTGATACCTATTCGCAGCTGTTCCGTAGCTTACTGTTGGTGACGTACGTAGACTGAGTGGCATATGTCAATGCCATTATTTGCTCAATTTTATCACCCATGTATTCTATGCCATCCTGCCATCACGCTGTGTCATAAATGATGGCGTTCATGCCGGCGTCCTCACCGCCTTGATGGCCATCTGGCTGCAGCGAAGCATCGTGACGTGTTTGATAGTAACTTGAATGAGGTGATTTTGATGCCTGGCTAAAGGGTGAAGGTTTCATTGTTCTCACCCACCCAACTTCCTAAACTGAAGTCTTCATATCCTCAATCCTAATATCTCTCACTATTTGGCCATCGATCCTTCCTGCTGATTCTGTTGCTCCTTCCCCAGAACCACGCAGCCGATTTCTAGATCACTCCCTCTATCTGGAGGCTATATAAACCCACCTCTTGACCCTCCAGCCTCCAGATCTTCTTCTCCTCCACACACTCACATCGCAATCACAAATTGCTTAGCTACCCAAACAATCAATCACAATCACACACTTCAGTCACCTTCAACCCTCAACTCAGGCAAGTTCACAACATATTCATGCTTGACACACCTCACATCTCTGCACAAACATCATCAAGACACACACATATACACACATGATTTTGCTGCCATACCTTCCTTCCCAAACCCACAAGCTGCCTCCTTCCTCCTGCCGAAAAGGCTGGAAATCTCCTCCAGCGGGTTTACAAAAAGGCCTCTCCCTTCTCTCAATCCAACTTCTGCTTCTTCCCTCATACATCACCATACTGCATTGCAACCCAGCCTCACTGCCAACCTCCTTCAACACACTCAGATAAGGTATCTTGCCCGACCCATACATCTATGCTATCTTTGGAAAAGGAATAAAATTACAGCGCTCCTGCTCTCGAGATTGGTTCCTTCTTTTCATATTCCTTCCTTCCTTCCAGATCACCCGTCCTCGACAACCTCCTTCCTCAGGCCCCTTTGACAGCTGTCAACCTAGGTAGGCAGCTACAAAAAGGGCCTTCTTCCATTTTCCCCCCTCTTCTACCACCTCTCAACCTCTCAACCTCTCAACATCATCTCAGCGAGCTACGTACATTCACTGACCACAAATAGCGACATCTACACAGCAACTCCACACTTTCCACGACTACCTAGGACAGGATGTCTTCCGGTTCTCCCAGCCGTGGTCCTGCCAGCCCTGCTAGATCCCGTTCGGGATCTCAGCCAAAGCATGGCTTCGGGCCTTCCATGGGCTTCGACCCCGCGAAGCCGGAGGGCGGTGGTCCCAGCAAGGATCACATCAACTCTCGCATCGACCCGCCCCCGGAGTCGTACCTCAATGCCGGCGAGACCCCCTTCGTTCGAAGACCCGGCTACAACACCTCTGGCAAGCCTGTCAACTTGGAGGTCAACCAGTTCCGCGTGAAGCAGTGGAACGACAAAATGACCATCTACCAGTATGATGTGTCGATCTCGCCCGTGCCCCAGAAGTACAACGTGGTGTTCAAGAAGGTCTGGGACTCTCCGCCTGTCCAGAATATGCTGGCGAAGTACAAGACCCTTTGGTTGAACGATGGTCGCAAGTTGGCTTGGTACGTTATCCTATCCTACATGCATATTTCCTCTAACACCAGTACAGGTCGTCGGTTCCTATCAACCGTGGCGAGGAGCGCTTGAAGGTTGACCTTGACGAGGGCAAGCTCGTCCGTCCCAATGCCAAGCCGCGCGACAATTCCTTCTTCTTCGTCATGAAGGAGACGAAGAAGATCAACCTCGCCGCCCTTGAAGCATACCTGACCGGTAAAATGGACTGGGACAGCACTGTTCTGGAGTGCATGAACTTCCTCGACCACCTTGTCCGCCAGTTCCCTGGCCAGAACCTTCTCTCGATCAAGCGCAACTTCTACAACGAGCGCGATAGGAAGACCATGGATCTTGGTGCCTGCTTGGAGGTCGTCAAGGGTGTCTACTCGTCGGTCCGGATGAATCAATCGGTTATGAACAAGCTTGGTCGTGGGCTCGGTCTGAACGTCGACGTCGCCAATACGGCATTCTGGAAGGGAGACAAGCCGTTGCATCTCTTCGTCAGGGACTTCCTGGGTACTTGCGATCGTAGATGGCAGGGCCTGAGCCCGCCGGACATCGCCAAGGTCTTGAAGCCAGTGCGCCAGCAGGACAAGAACGGCAAGACGGTACTTACCATGTCTGATGCCTTCAAGCATCTTAGGAAGCTGGCCAAGCTTCGATTCTGCCCCAAGCACCGCGGCAAGGAGAACTGGGACAAGTCCTACACTATCAAGGGGTTCGCATTCAACCCAACCTACGGCGAGAGCGGTGCTACTACTGACAGTATCGTCTTCACGAACAATGGCGAGGAGATGAACATTACGAAGTACTTCGACAAGACCTACGGTTACAAGGTTCAGTTCCGTGATTGGCCTGTTGTCGAGACCGCGAAGGCCGGCTTCTTCCCCATGGAGGTCTGTGTGGTCGCTGCCATGCAGCGCTACAACTACAAGCTTGACCCTGATCAGACCTCGGCGATGATCAAGGCTGCTGTCACTCGTCCCACCCAGCGCAAGGCGGACATCATCAACGCGAAGAACCAGCTGGCATGGAAGGAGGACCCCTATCTCCGCCAGTACGGTGTTGTTTTCGAAGACCAGATGGCCAAGACTGTGGGCAGTCTCCTTGAGCCCCCGAAGATTCAGTACGCCAACAATGTGGTCAGCCCCATGTTCTCTGGTCGCTGGGACTTGCGCGGCAAAAAGTTCTGGGTTCCCAATCGTGCTCCTCTGGCGTCTTGGGGTATCGTGATTCTGGAAAACTCCACTAGCAGAGCCAATGCCCAGGCCTTTGCACAGACGTTCAAGCAGACTTACACTGGCCATGGAGGCAAGATTACAAAGGACGCCGTTGTCATCGACAGCGAGGCCCGTAATAACAATGTTGCCGAAGCAATTGCCAGGGCTTATGCCCAGATCAAGGCCAAGACCAGTGCAGTCCCGCAGCTGCTCTTCTGCATCTTGCGGTTTGACAATGTTGGCTCTTACGAGCGAATCAAGAAGTCCGCCGATTGTCGATTCGGCTTGCTTACTCA